TTTAAATAAACTAAACAATGATTAATATTTGAAATAATATTGATAAAATTCTGATCAAAATAAAAATATATATAATTTTATATATATATATATATAATTTTTATGTTTTATAATATTTGAATAAAGATATTTATCAAATTTACTTATTGTTGTGTTGATTATTAATAAATTCAACTTTTAAATAAAAAATTAATATTTTCTTTAATGTCATTTTATGATTTACAGTAAATCTACAAACAAGATTGTAAATATATTATAAGATTGTTTTTACTTTCTTGTATATAACAATATAATTAATATTGTAAAGTATATCATTCACATTATTAATTAAATAATAAATATAAAAATAAACGAAATAAGAATAATATATAACATTATTAATCATTCTATATGTAACATTATATAGTAGAATTTGCAAAATTTAACATGAAATATATAAAAATTACTTTCAATTAAGTGTAAATATATGTATGCATATTCTGTAATGCCATAAATGATTAAAAAGCAATAGATTCATTAGAAATATACAAGCGAAAAGAGAAAAAAACAAAATGTTTAGATTGCGCATTATTACTTTTTTCAATATTAAATCTACAAAATTATATGTAATACATAAAAATTATGCAAAAATATACTTATATAAATACAATTTTATATTCTAAAAAAGTTATTTATTAAATGCCAAAATATTTGGAATTTATAAATATTTATCTTAAAATAAATATAAAGGTAATGAAAATTTATAGAAGATAAGAATATTAATGTAAAAAAAATTATTAAACAATTTTTAGTTTTTATATTTTTATAATATGCTCATTTTATAAATGATTCTTTTAATTATTAAGTAATTTTTGATAAAGTTAACATAAAATTCATTTATTATACATTAAAAATTCTAATTTTATATTAAGAAAATACTTTTTAAATGTAAAACATCGATTATTTTATGCAATAATTCAAAATTAAGGGAATATTAATTAATTTAGATTTTTATATTTGCGTGTCTTTTTTACTTATTTAATAAATATTAAAAATAAGTCAAAGTACATGCAATGAAAATATTAAACATAAAAAATATGTTGTGACAATATGTACTCAAATGAGATTAATACAAAATTTTGCATAGAATATGTAAATTTTGCATAAAATATTTAAATTTTAACTTAATTGGTATCTAATTATTTTTATCATTGAAAAATAATCTATCAATGTCTCTATTCATTATATATTTTAACATTACAAAAATATATAAACATAATATACTACTATATCAAATGCTAAATCCATATCTGATACATATATCAACTATTTTATGATTTTTTTTAGGTATCATATTCTTTCATTATTGATGACAATAAGGTGTCAAATTTTAATTAACGTAAAAATATATACCAACATAATATTTGACACGTACAGATTTGGATAATCACTTGCAACAATTGCCAGTTGCTGCCTTTTGTCCTTCTGTTTCAACCAATCGACGACCTTGACCACTTGTACTTGCACTTCCTGATTGTTCATTTTTTGGAAGTTTTTTAGCTGTAATATAATTTTATTTAATTTAAGTATTACATAATAAATTCATAATAAATTATTACATAATAAGTATTACATTAAAATATTACATAATAAATTCAAAGAAATTTTAGAAATTAATACATTTAATACATTTTATATTATGAATATAAAATATATATATATGCTATATAATATTAGCTCAATAATAAATATGTTCTATTTCGGAACTTGCATCTAATAGCAAAAATTTAGGCTTTTGAAAATAATTGATTGATATTACTTTTTGACTTATAATTCATTCTTTAAGTATCTTAAAGACAGTAATAAAAACCAGAATGAAATAGAGAAAGATTTGTAACCACATATCACAAAGATTTATATAATTAGAATAAATAATCTTAAATAGATGATAAAAAGTGATGATTTTACTATTCAAATAAAAATCACATTTTTATCAAGACAATATTATATATAATTATTATATTGTATGAAATTTAATAAGAGATATTATTTCAGATTATTTTTCTATATACTTATAAATAGATTAATTAAATATAATTAAATATAAAATATAAATACTATAAATTTATGTAAAATTTATTTGTCAGATTTTATTCATTAATATCATTAATAAATATTTAATATTAAAAATATTAAATTTTTCATGATAAATATAACAAAATAATCTTACCAATTGCTAAAAATATATCATTAACATTCATTGCTGTTTTAGCTGAAGTTTCCATGAAAAGAAGGCCATTTTCATCAGCATAAGTTTGAGCTTCATCAAATTCTACAATTCTTTTATTTGCAAGATCAGCTTTATTTCCAGCTAATGCTATAACTATACTTGGACTGGCTTGTCGTTGCAATTCCTTCACCCACGTTTGGGCACGTACAAATGTGTCCTGCAATTTCACATAATTAAAAAATATATAAATTTAATAATAAATATAAAAATTAGAAAATAATTTATAATAAGTATCAGAAAAATAATGATAGATATCATATTAACATTTTTATTATTATTACAATTGATTTGAATTTTTTTCCTCAATTTTTTTTGACATTTTTCATTATTTTATTATTATATATGTCACTTGATTTATAAATACTGTTTTTAGAAATATTATTAATTCTTTAAAGTCACAATAAAATATTTTTATAATAAAAAATTAAACTAATATGACATTTTTACCAAAAATTATTTCAAAAATTTTATTAAAACAAAATTCAAAATATAAATATAAAATATGTCACATATAAAATTGAATGTAATGATTTGCTTATCTTTTAATTATATATTTTATAGATATATATAATATTATATATAGTTTTTAACATACATAACATTATATTTATATTTATAATTTATATATTTAAATATTAAATTTGATAAATCTGTACTCACTTGATTTGTTATATCATATACAACAATAGCTGCTTGTGCACCACGATAATACATTGGTGCAAGACTATGATAACGTTCTTGCCCTGCTGTATCCCAAATCTCAAATTTTACGGTTGTATCATCCAAACATACAGTTTGTGTTAAAAATGCAGCTAAAATATTATAATATAAATATAATTATTATATATTACTCAATTAGATACTCATTAATTATAATTATATTATTTTCCTTTTATATGATTAATATTATAATTAATATTTAAAATATTTATAATTAATATTTAAAAATATATGAAATTCATACCTCCAATAGTACTTTCTTGATACTCATGGAACTGTCCTTTAACAAACCTCAAAACAAGACTTGACTTTCCCACAGCAGATTCTCCAAGCAATACCAGCTTAAATTGACAAATCTTTC